TCTCCATCATGGGTTTATGAAATCTCACCTGGATTCGAGTCTGCTGAGTAAAAGCTATACTTTGCTCCTGCGGGAAGGTGTTAGGTTGGTCAGCTGCCAATTCCTGGGGAGTGAACCCTGTGAGATTATTTGCATTCATCCCAGTAAATCAATTAATGTTTGTAAAGCACTTTAAACTTGAAAAGCAATCCTATAAATATTTGGTATTATCATATAATTACACTACCAGATCTCAATTAAATGCACAATTGGCCATGCTTTAATCATGTAATTGAAGTGTCACGAGAAGTATTTCAAATGCAGGTATCTCAGTCTGTGCTGACCATCCTCAAAACAGGTCTGTAAGCCTGGAACGAAATGAGGGCTCTTGATTTTGGAAACTCTGGAGACCTACTGTCTGAACAGAATTAATGTCTCTTTCCCTAGTACAGAAATACATTTTTTCCACATCTACAAATATAGGTAATTTTTTGCCTCTATTTGTCTTGCACCTTCAACACTTCTTGTGGGCAGCGCGAGAGCTAACCTGCTTTTCTGTTTGTTTGAGTTTCTTTTAAGCGTTGCTGCCTTCCCTTACTAATATAATGGAAAAAAGATTGTCACTTGTGATGTTGTATGAGATTTATATCCTTCAGGGTTATGCTTTATCAGTGGTCCATACACTGTGCTGTGTGATGTACTGAAATAAATTAAAAAAATTAAATGCTGAAGCATCTCCATTTTCTCCAGAGGGTAAAAAAGACATTAAACCTCAAATAATGATATATATGTTGCCATCTGATTACCAGCAATATAGGGAGTATTGCTTCCTACTTCATTGTCTTCATTCTGAATAGTAAGCTTGTTTTTATCAGCATTGACAACTCAATCCATGGTCTGGCTTCAAAAAAAAAGACCCAAAAGAGTAATAGTAAGATTTCATATCGATTTTTCATAGTACATTTTATAGTTTTCTAACTTTAAGAACTTTAGGAAACTCAGTTACCTCTAAGCTTTTCTCCATGAATATGAGAGCTATGAAATTGTGAAAGGTATTTTTGGAGTGGAGTTTTTTGTTTGGTTGTTGTTTTTTTTTAACTTTTGTAATGAAATCAGAAACTTTAATGGACTATCCTAACTTATTAGATGAAGTATTTACTTTACAAGATGTCAGTAATGTTACCATGCTTACCATTCATAGATTCATAGAATCATAGAATGGTTTGGGTTGGAAGGGACCTTAAAGATCATCAAGTTCCAGCCTCCCCCGACATGGGCAGGGACCCCTCCATTAGACCAGGTTGCTCAAAGCCCCATCCAGCCTGGCCTTGAACCCCTCCAGGGATGGGGCAGCCCCAGCTTCTTTGGGCAACTTGTTCTCATGTCTCACCACCCTCACAGGAAAGAATTTCTTCCTGATATCTAATCTAAATCTCCTCTCTTTCAGTTTGAAACCCTTCTTTTTTACCTTCTTCCTCTGGTGTTCTAACATTCACTTCTTCACTCCTAATAATTTCTTTTCATGTCAATTAAATGCTCTCTGGGGAGATTGATTGGCAGTTTTTATATATTTGTACAGCACCTGTGCAAGACTGTAGTTGAAGCCTCTAGATGCAATCACAACCAAAATAATAACATTTACATCTGCTCTTCATGTTCATTGGCATCAGTTTACCCTACAATGAACCTAAGGTATTTTCCAATGCAGAGCTGTTATTATTTCTTATTATCTTTCTGGAATAACTGTATATAAGAGCCACAATGTAGGCTCCCAGAAAAATGTGAGTTTCTGCCAAAATGATACCAAAAGACCAAAATATAAAAACTTTTCAGGGCAGGAACTACCTCTGAGTGTGTCTGCATTGCATTTGCTGACAATAGGACTCTGGTGAGGCTGTCTAAGATGCAATTACATAATGCATGTATATATATATATATATATAATGGAATGTGCCATTACTGCAGTGTTAAGCTATATTTGGAAACCACAACAAGAAAAGCACTTTCCCTCATTTTTAATTTTTTTTTTATTTCACTATGCGGAAAAAATGTCTTTGATATATGAAGCATTTTATAAGACCATCTTTTTATTTTATTAACTGCTAATTTGCACACCTAACACCAATTGGTGGTGCAATTAATTGTGGATGCAAATGAGAATGTTTAGCTGTCTAATCACCTGATTGTGCCTATAAATCAGTGACAGTAATTATGTGTGTAAAAGCTCATTTCAGCCTGCAATTAATTTGGCCAAAATTGATAGGACAGAAAAAAATACCACCCTAGGCTGAAATTTGGTCCCCAGTGTGTAAGAAGAGAAAGTACCTTCCTTCTCAGCCTCTTGTGTCTAAATTGCAGAGAGCTAAGTAGACAAAGAGCAATGATTCCCCAGTCCCCAATAACTCACTGCCAGTGTTTCACAATAAAGTGCAATGGGAGAGGAAATATTTCCATAAGGGTTCATTAATCACAACACATTTGCCATGCACAACCACTCTACAGAGCAGGTAAAGAACCCTGGGGGATGTTGCCTGGCACAGTATGTCATTTTCATAATAGGAAAAGTATTTTTTTTTTTCTTGCACAAATGCTGTAGAGCTGAAGTTGCAGATGGCTCCATTGGCAGAGCTAGAGCCTCCTGGCACAAGCCTCAGCAGCCAAAGCTACTTTATGTATTTATAGCAATGGTTAGTCATATCGCAAAAGGAGGATGCTGAAGATGCTCTCTGCCCACTGCGTGTGCAAGATTCCCAGGTGTGCCCCTTGGGAGGGCATGTGAGGCAGGCCAAACAAAGCCCACCCAAAAAACAAACTGCAGAAGGCAGTCCAAGTCTTACCTGTCCCCGTTGTGCAGCAGGACACTAATGAGAGGTCTAGGAACAATTAAACGGACTGTGACGGAGAACCTGGGGGTCCAACAGACCCCATTAGCAGAACTATGCAGCAAAAGATGCCTTTCCAGCTCAGCAGCTTCTTTCAGATCTGGGCAGCGGGCCATTTCCCTGAGGACACCGGAGACCCCCTGTTGTCCCATCAGACTGTGACCCATCTAGACCTGCCTAGTGTTTTGCACGAGAGGCAGAGTTGGTGTCTTGTTTACCGTACCTCTGTGGTCTCAGCCTCTGAGCGGTTCGTTGCCGCTTCACTCCCACGTGGGACTTTGACAAAATTCAAAGCCACCTGGTGTGATTTTAATTTAAATGTGAATTTAATGTGTTTTCCTTTTATATTGCTATGATGTGCACTGTCAAGAGAAGTGCTGCAGGCTCAGATCTGGCCTCTCAGCTGTTTCTCTGTACTGCTCCCTGGTTTGGTTTTATGCGTGTTCCCTGAGGAAAGCTGTTGCTCTGCAGTGGCTTGTGCTTTGGATACAGGCATCCGTTGGGTACCAGCACAGTACTGGTCGTTCTTTGAGAGGGCAACTGAGTCTTGGGCTCTTCTGCCAGTCAGAGGCCACAAATCTTCTCATCAGCAGAAGATATCACTGGAGTTACAAGTGAAGAGGTATGAAGGGTTGCGTGTAGTCTATACATGAAGAGGTTCCACAATTTACCGTGCTCCATCAATTATGAAAAGGGTTTTAAAAAAGGACTTGTGAAAAGGAGGAGCAATACTGAAGTGTTTTATCTTAACTAATTACAATGTTTAAAATATATTAAAATTTTCCCTCGTTAGAAAATATAGTCTCACTAGAAAAAAAAAAATGTGTTAGAAAATATAGACTCACTAGACAAAAAAAATACTGTGAAAACATACTAAAACGATCATAAGGAAGTGCTTTCAGGACCAGGATGTGAAAAATATATTAAGAAAAGGAGAAACAGAGATCCACATGAGTTAGTAGCCCACCAGGGCACTCCGGTAGGATGCAAGACACCCTGATGCAAGACAGTGTCTTAATCTTCAGAATTTGTCATTAAGTGAGACTGTTTTTTTCAGGCAGGCTTAATTAGTTTTGAACTAAATTTGTAGGAACGAGGTGGGAGCCTGGACTTTCTGACACAGAATAACAGAAAGCAGATTAGAAAAACAGAGCAGATCAGAGGCCACCTAGAGTGGCTGTTGTGTTGTGACACAGGTGTCTCACGGGAGATGACTGCAAGCTCTGCAAGGGTCATGAAAAGCATCTCAGCAGCCAGATGGCTTGGCCAACAGAAGACATCCCTTGCTTTCTAAAACCACTCATTGCCCCTGCACCCACTGATAGCTATTCAATCGGCTCATCACCAGGTGTTCTTCTCCCTGCTTGCCCAGGCCACCAGAACTGATATGTGCTTTCTGACGGTCACTTCTTTCATCTGCTGGTTACTATTTGCCAGCAGCAGCCTGTTGGGCTCCTGGCTCCTGCTGTTTCTTACTCTGCTGCTGCACGGGAGCTATCGTAGTGAGTCACTTCTAATCACCAAGGGAACTCGCAGCCAGATCTCCGCTCCTCCTAAAATAGGAACTCACAGCTAGATCTTCTCTCCTCCTAAAATAATCAAACTATGAGAAAAAGCACTATATATTTGGCAGTATCCGAGAAGGATGGAAAAGCAGGACAGTGAGCTCAGAGATAGCAAGACCCCAGGCTAAGACCATCCAAGGCCTGCAGTGAAGGTGGTCTTCCAAGTCCACATAGAGCCACACAGAAAGGAGATCAGTTCTTTGCAGGTTCTGAGTAGAGAACATTGCAGAATCAGCTTTTTTCCCCCTCATCATTTGAAAAAACTCTGAGGGAGGCCATATAATCAACACATCCCCCTTATATTTCAATTCAGACAACTGGGTCCTGGAAAAGAATAATGTTTAATGAATAAGACAATGCTAAGCTTTGAAAATGGTTTTAAGAAGGCAAGTCTTGTCTTCAATTTAGTTTACTCTGATCATATCAACTATTATAAATTGCAGTATTAGATTCTTTTCAAATGAATGTTCATTATTTTGAAGCACATAAAAAAACCGAATGGTTATTTTCAAGCGGAAGCGTTACCTGTAAAATATCATTCTGCATTTCTATAACCTCTCCCTTTTATTTCTAGGTATTTCCACACAATATACTTGGGTATCCGGAGTCGACAGAGTGGAGAGAATGACAGATGGCGGTTTTATTGGAAAATGGTGTATGAGTATGCAGATGTGAGTATGCTGCATTTGCTCGCCACGTTTCTGGAAAGTGCACCACAGCTGGTCCTGCAGCTCTGTATTGTTGTACAGACTCGCACACTCCAGGCTCTCCAAGGTAGGCGTTCATTTAATCTATTTGTTTTTTATCATTTTAGGAAGATGTAATTTCTATACATACCTATTTATCCTTCTTTCAAACTGCTGTGGGCCTTGTACTCCTGGCAGAAGAGCTGATCTTGCCTGCTAGCTGCTATTAAGCTGTTAACAATGACTACGTCAAGAAATTCTGTGCTGTTGGAGCTTTTTTAGCCTTTCGTATTGGCCCTGGGTTGTGGGTAGGATTTATAATGTTTTGCTTTCTGCATGTCCTTGTAATAGAAGAGCTCTTCTGATTATCCACTGGGCCAATGTGAAAATTGCATCAATCAAACTATTGCTCTTCTCCCTATGCTTCTTTCTGTGAGCGTTCAAAACCCTCCAAACTGCAGTAATGAGGTTCATATGGTATTATGCAAAACAGAAAACGGCACAGCAGAAAACAGCTATTCTGTGAAGAAAATGCCAGTGTCTACGGAATACACGTCCATCAGTTCTCAGCCATGTTTATCTGAAATAAAACAAGTCAGCTCCTGAGCATTACAACAAAACTCATTCTTTCAAGCTCCTGGTTTCCTTCTAAGGTTGACACTTTCAGCAAGCATGATTACTTCTTAAAAATGGTAAATGCATGCATATGTCCTGCCATAGGGTTTTGTCAGTCAGTGATACAGATAAAAGAGTATCTCCTTCTCTACTGCTCTTTTGATGCTACTTGTGGCTACCTGGCAGCTTTCCTTTTGTATTGCACCCTTGTTGTGCCTTCTGGCTGCACCTGGGCAGAAGTCACTAGCCTGGGATTGAGGTGAGTGAGAACTTGGGATCCAGAAGGTGACACAAATGACACAAGGCAGTGAGGAGTGAAGGGAGGAGGGGAGGGGCAGAGAGAGGAAGGAAATGCATTTGTTTTTAAGAAACAACTCATGTGCTTGCCACTGTACAAGATAAAACTGACAGCACAGCACCTTGCTCCAAGAAGTTCTGGGTCGAGTTAGCTTATTAGGAGTAACATGCAGTGAGGCTGATGGGGTGAAAAAGGGCTGGGAACAAAGTGGGTAACCTTCATCCTGGGCAGTTTCCTGTGGATAAATCAGAGGCTTTTCATTTACTTCCCCTTTGAACCGACGTCTAATAACAGCTGTCTTCCTTCCTGTGTCTTTTTGGTTGTGTTTCTTTAGATCTAAAACTCTGTCACCTTAAGGGAAAAAGAAAGCCAAAGTTTCTATTTTAATTAGTTGGCGCTCTGTACAAGGAAGGGTGCCTAAGCACTTCCTACAGCTATTTCTCAAAATGATGCTGCCCCACACCAACCAGTCCAAACTAATATCATTCAGAAGAAGGTATTATCACTTCAAGAAGCTTTGTCCCCCCAGAAAAAGAGAGTCCAGAGAGAGGCTTAGGAGAAGAACAGAGCCAGAATACTGTATGGTCAGCTGTAATTTATCTATCTTCATAAACTATTAATACAGAAGGCCTCTTGCCCTCATTTTAGTGCAATAACAGATCTGTCTACGAGAAATGTGAGTAGGCACTAAGCCTGTGATGTACTCTGCAAGTGGTTGTTAATTAGAGAAAACCTGAAATGCTTCAATATAAAAGGCAAAAATGGTTCCTGAAGCCTGCAATCAGCTCTGTGAATTCTATGTATCAGAAAACAGAAAGGAATAAAACTATAATTACGGATTTCAGCTGAGAAGGCTGAAAATATTTATGGATCCTCTCTTCCCCCATTTTCTTCCATCTTCCAAAGAGAAAAGGTTCCATTGAAAAAGACTAAGAAAATTAAACAAGGTTGTAGCATTTTCTTAAACAGTAGTACCATTATATTCTCCTGATAAAAGCTAATGTGTTTTAGTACATTGCCAGCTGCGAAAATCCTTTTACTGCTCTCTCTCCTTTTTTAAAGAAATGTTAGGGATAATCCATTGCACTATAGGATGGTAGATTTGCTGTGAGGCTGCATAAGGAGAGCATAATTTCTCTCAGTGGTATCAGGCTACAACTGGGTGTTTTAAGAGGCTTGGCCATAAAGTATATGCTTCAGCTAGCTGTCCACTCACTGAGCCTGTTACAGAGACTTCTAACGTGGATCAATAAACAGAGTGTTTGATTGATTTTCTTTGTTTAGAGAAAGCTACTTGGTTTTTATTATTGTTCTTTTAGTTCTCTGTCCCGCGGGACAAAGTTATCATGACAATTGATAAATGCCATCGCTGGTCCACATTCTTAAAAGGATACTTCCAGCACAAACCACAAATTTGGCGTGGGAAATGAATGATACTGGGAATGTTTTGGTCTACAAGCAGGGTATTTCTACTATCAAGCCATTAACAACCTCAAGAAAAACGGTTAAATATTTTATTTAGGAAATTGTATATTTTCCGTACCAAATGGACCAAACTAGCATCATTCTCAACAGGAGAATGCTGTCAGTGTGAATGAAGATTCCCAATTTCGTAATGTGCTTTGGCTGGGTGTAGGTTGTTTCCTATTTCCATGCTTAAGCCCTGCTAATCAAGGTAAGAATTACATACAGGCATGTACATACGTCCTTATGGAGATCAAGAAAAATATTGCACAACATCTGCAAAACCTTCCCTCTCAGTCTTCCACCCACTGCAGAGAAGAACACTTCAAAAGCCCTGAGGATGCACCACAAGGATCCTTTAGCACTTGCCTGGGCTCCCCAAGCATGATAAAAAACTGCAATGTAAACTTCTAGCAAGGACAGTATAGAGCTTTACCCTGACTGCTGCAGCAGGACATTGCTCATGTGGTCATTATGGAGTGGCATCTCCCTTCTGCGTTGGCACCCAGAGAGATCTGAGTACTGATAAAATAATATCTAAATGATTATCTACAAATCTGGTTCCTCTTTAGGATTTCATCAACACTGGCACAATTAAAGGTGATGATCTTTCTTATTCTGCCTATGAAGGAGTGGAACGGCTTATGGGGGAAGCTGATGGTTTCTCAGGGCTAATTCCTCAAGAAGACAAACAACTTTGATATGATGGAGCTGTGCTAACCCCTCTATTACCTCCACCTTTTCCACCCTGGTGTTGAGTTTGAAGAAATATCTACTCTCTAGAAGACAGATGTGCCATGAAAATAAGTAATTCTTCAGTCTTTTCCTCGTGGGAATCAATTTCCTTTCCTTTCTCTTCGTGTGCTTCTCCACTGAGCCAGCAGCACCCAGCAGCACCTCCAAACTACATTGCTTTTTTTCTTTTTTTTTTTGCCTTTTTTTTTTAAAAAAAATCTCCTCTCCCTTAATTTCTCTGTAGGAAAGTCACCTCTTAAGCAGCTTCATGGTGGGAGTCACTAGCTTCATCATTCCTACCCTTGGTGGGAGCTCTACGAGGAATGGGGCAGCTCTGCATATGGGGGGAGCAATGGCAGAAAGTCTGCTAAAGCAGCTGATGCTCATCCTACATTCATCTGTTTGCATAAGGGCATATACGTGGACAGAAGTGTCTGAACCATCTACAGGTGAGCTGGTTCAGCTACCAGAAACAGTCTAGCAGCAGTACCCTCGAGGCCAGGGTGGGCAACTGATCTCAGTGTCAACCTACATACACCAACTGCCTAAAACTCCTTGTGGACCTGCACCCCTCACCCTGTGTTTTCAGTTCTGATCCCAGGGCTCTGCAAACAGGTCCTGCACTGGATCTACCCCTGAGTCACAGGGAACCAAAATACTAGAGTTGAAAGTGTTTGGATTATTGGATTACCCCAACAAATTCAGAAGGCTGCAAGTAATTCCCTTAAAAATGCCTCCACCCTTCAACCCATGTAGCAGAGAAGCAGTAGTTTCACAGACTTTGCCATCAAATCAAACTCTTCCATGATAAACTGCCGTAGGCTAAATATTAGGCAGATTTGCTGACACAGTAAGATCAGTCTAAAGGTTATGAGACTCTTCCTTGGTTGGGTCTCTGGGCATCCGACATAATGGCCATATCTCACCACGTTTGCTCTGCTGTCTCGACAGGTCCTAGGACTGACAAAGTGACAGACAGACCTGCACTGGCAAGTTGGCTCAGCAGGGTTATTCCGCAGTCACTTGAAGCCAACTTACCTGCAGGCTGCCAAGAAAATATTTGATTTAGAATCATAGAATCATAGAATTGTCTAGGTTAGAAGGGACCTTAAAGATCATCTAGTCCAACCATCAACCTGATAAAAAAAAACCAAAAAAACCCCACAAACCAAAAAAGACACCCACACACCACAAAACCAAAAAAACACACCACTGAACCATATTCCTGAGGACCATGTCAACCCATCTTTTTAATATCTCCAGGGATGGTGCCTCAACCACTTCCCTGGGCACCCCTTTCCAATGCTGGATAACCCTTTCCATGAAGAAATTTTTCCTAATATCCAATCTAAACCTCCCCTGGTGCAACTTGAGGCTGTTTTGTCTTGTCCTATTGCCTGTAACTTGGGAGATGAGACCGACCCCCACCTCTCTACATCCCCCTTCAGGTAGTTATAGAGCACGATAAGGTCTCCCCTCAGCCTCCTCTTCTCCAGACTGAACAACCCCAGCTCCCTCAGCCTCTCCTCATAAGACTTAGTCTCTAGACTCCTCACCAGCTTCGTTGCTCTTCTCTGGACCCGCTCCAGCACCTCAATGTCTTTTTTGTGGTAAGGGGCCCAAAACAGGATACAGTACTTGGAATTTAATCACGGAATTTCCTACCAGCACTTCACCCAAAGATGCGTGCTCCCGTCAGGTCACTGGCATTCCTGTGGCTGCACACTTCTATTTTCCTCATTGCTCACTTGGTCGAGGCTGAGCTGGATCCAGCTGTACTCCCCAGGGCAAGGGGGTGTCACACAACGGGTGGTGCCAGCCCTGGGGAGGCTGGGGGAACACAGCATTGGGGTGGGCAGGGAAGGTCAGGGCTGTCCCTTTCTGTGGCACCTGGGTTTGGAATCACACCCAGGGACTGGCAGTCTTGCCTTGGCACTCTCCTTTTACTTGCTTCGATTTTCCCCCTATGCTGTTTG